GCTCTTTTGTCAGACTTCATGCCCCAGGCCAGGGTTTGCTCCCCCAGGTTCTGTGCAGGCGCCCACCTCCCCGCCCCACCCCACTCCCTCTCCATCCTAGGCAGTCCATTCTTTCCAACCGAGGCCACTGGAAGCAGCTCAAAGCAGCATGGGTTGGCCTCTGCTGCATCTGACCATATTTTAAGAGGCTTTTAATTCTGGAATAGTTCTAGGGTGTGTTCATTGTGTAAATTCCAATGCAAACCCTTTTCATTTTCATCATCCTCATTCTGTTTGGTCTCCTCTGACTCATGTAATCAGTTGAAATATTAATTACAAAAAGATGGCTGGGCACATAGAGCTGGAGGCGATTTGGTCTATCCATCAACAGAGGAGGAGCCGAGCCTGGAGGGGAAAGACTTGCCCTAGATTGCCAGCCCCTTGTAGGGCTCCCCTAGGCCCTACCCTTGGTTCCTGGGCTTCTGTCCTATTTGCTGACTTGCATTTCCAGTGCTGATTTCCCTGCAAGTGGCAAAGCACTGGAATGACCCGTGAACTTAGGAAGTGTCTGAATCGTGTGGAAGCCATAGTGGGAGCTTGGACCCTCTTGGAAAGGAAGCTGGAGTGGTGAGAAGCCACCGTTTGGCTGTGGGTGTGGGGCATGGAGAGGGGGCAGATTCCTCTTTCCTGCTAAGGTCATTCTTCAAGGGAGTACTCCAGAGCCCCTGACCTGCTGGGGTGATGGGTGACACTGGGACTCTGTCACCACAGGCACTGCCTTCAGATCAGAAAGGGAAAGGGTGCTGGTCATGGCGGCTCCTCTGCTCAGCTGGAGTGACAGGCAGCCATGCAGGAGGGCTGCAGCTGGGGGTCAGCCCATGCAGTGATTCCCTGGTGGTCCTTGAGCAGATCAAACCTCTTTCCCCATCTACAAACAAAAGGGGGATAGGCTCAAACGTGTTTTACAGGCTTGTTGTAGGGATAAAATAAAGTCTGTGAGAGCAACATCTGACTGTATGCCAGCAGAAGGTGCCCGGGGGCATGTGGCTCACCCTGAGCAGTGGCAGTGGCACAGGCTGGGGTGCCTGCCACTGGAGAGGAGGGAGAGCAGAGCAGTGCTGCAGTGACCGTCCCAGCTGGGGGAACTGGAACCTCTGCTGGAGGTGGAGCTGTGTGTCCCCGTGAACTCCCTGGGTGACTTTTGGTTCTTCAGCTAGAGCTCCAGCATCACCAATGAGTAGGCCTGCCCTTTTTTCCCAAACTCTGAGACTTTGGGTGAGGGCTTGATCTTCTGGGACTCTACTTCATCCTTTGATGGAGTTTGTGCCCATTGGGTTGGTTAGAGTGAGGAATAAAAGGATCCTATCACCAAGTGCTTTGCACAATCAGCCATCATCTGCCAGTCCAATGTGGGGAAAACATGCCGGGAGGAGATGAGAGCAGGAGCCTCATGTAGGGTATGAGCCAGGCAGTGGCTCAGAGCAAACTGAGAAGGTCCTTCCAGTCCTGGATTCATGTTTCCATGGAAACCTGCTCTTGCCAGAGAGTCCGCCCACCCCAGGCCCCCTCCTCCAGGGCTGGTGGGTTCTTTGGCCGGAGCTCCAGTATCACCGATGAGCGGGCCTGCCCTTTCTTCCCAAACTCTGAGAATTGGAATGGGTTTCCTTACCTAGGACATGCAGTTGACTGGCGAATGGAATCCAGGATTCTGAGTGCAGAAGTTTCCAGATTCAGGGTAAGCTGGTGCCTGGCTGCTTCTATGTGCAAGGAGAACAGACCCTTCCCTGTCCCCCCATGGTACTGAGGCTGTGTTTAGTGAGAATGTGAGGAACTGGGTACTAGGTGTGAACAGAAGCTTGTAAATAACCAGGGCCTTTCCAGAAGGCCTATATTGATCTCAGAGATGCAGTGTTTGGAGGTCCCAGCATGGACTCCTCAAATGCCCCCATTCCCTGCATTTTTTTTCATACTAAGCTGTGAAGGTCAGGCTAAGCCATGAAGGTCAGAATCTGTGATTAGTGGGTGGATGGCCTCCCTTAAATAGCCATGGCCCAGCTAGGTATGATTCTGCCTGGGTGTCAGAAAGAGCCTTGAGTCAGGAGGCCAGGGATGAGTCTGGCTCCAAAACCCCTGACCCCAGCCTCGGCCGCTCACCCTGCGCATCTGTTTCTCGGCTGTAAGCTGGTAATAGCATGGCCAGGGCTCTAAACCCAGCTTCTGCCCTACTTGTCTCTGCCTGCTTCTCCCTTTTCCTCTTCCCCTACTTGTCCCTATCTCCATCTTCCCTGCCAGAAGCAGGGCTGGCCACCCTCTCACTCAGGGTGTGCAAGGCCCCCAGGGAGGCGACTGTGTGGGTGCATGCATGCATGCGTGTGGGGGTTTTAGGTGGCAGTGTCTCTAAGATTGGACTTGGGGTTCATGAAGTTTTTTCCAAAATTAGAAAGCAAATGTATGTGGGGAGGAAGGGGATGCTGCCAGAGGGCATGTCTAGCTGTCTCTTTGGGAAATTAAGGAAGAAGAGTTCTAGTTTGGCCCCTAAAGTCATACTTCCCCTTGGGGCTGCAGTTTTTAATCTGGTATCATTAACTAAAGTCACTGCAAACATCCTCCCAAGGCTTTGATTTGAGGTGAGTGGGAGCCCCTGTCTTCTTGGGGGTTGGGTGATGGTTGGATGACATCAGAGAAGCCCAGCGTCCCAGGTCGGAGCCTTACTCTCCCTGCAGGCTCCCCACCTCTGTCCACCAGAGGATTTCCTGTGGCGTCTGTTTGCTTATTGCTTCTCAGATAAGTTTTCATTTGAAACAGTGGTCTGAGGCTCTAAATCATTTGAAAGTCTTCGCATCCAGTGTTCAGAAAACTCCCCTGGTTCTAACATTTGGTGATTCTGCAAGAAGCCTTCATGCTAGGGCAACCAACTGTCCCAGTTTGCCCAGCACCGTGGAGTTTCTGGACATGGGACTTTTAGTGCTGAAAGTCCCAGGAAAACCAGGCCAGTTGTTCATCCTCTCACATTCTCACTTGAGTAGCTTATATTTTGAGCCATGCTTGTTTCAAGAAGGGAAAGATACCATTTAGAAAGCCCCTTCAATGCCCAAGTGTCAAGAAAAATGGGATCCATCACCTAGTCGAATAGTAACACTGGATGGGAAGGGAGGGAAGCTGGTGCCCATGTGTTTTGAAAAAGCAGCATTTACTTTAACTTTGGAATCACAGAGCACCAGTCCCCAGGCAGGATGGGAAGTCAATGGGGCCAGGGTTGGTGCGACTGATGGGATCTGAAGGGAAAGAAGAGCTTTTAAAAAGGAGAAGAATTTCACACTGAATCTCTTAATCTGTTTTACAGACTCATAAAATCTTAATATAGCCCCGAGACTGTCATGTTTACAGACAGTGCAGCAAAGGCAGTGGCTTGGAATGTGACCAGAGAGTTTGCAGAACAAACGCACCAGGGAGGGGCTTGGATGGAAATAACCAAGCGCTCTCCCCGCAGGGTAAGGCAGGACAGCCGGGCAGCCCCCGTCTGGTTCCCCCAACTGTGAGCAGAACGCTGGGCTACAATCTAGGCTGAAGCTTCAGTGCACTGGCTTTTAGCAAAAAGCCCCCATACTGCCCCTGGGGCAGAGGATGGTAAGACGCCAGCCCCTGACACATCCATGACACTGTGTGACGCAGGTGGAGCTCCAGTCCAGTGGACACACCTGTGATAGATTTGAGAATGCCTGGAGGTTGGAGGTTGCTGAGAACCCAGTGGGGCTAAGAGGGTCACAGGCACTCAGAAGACAGGGAGGTTCCAGTGGGCTTCCTGGAGAGGGGACCCGGGCTGGGCTGCACAGCATCTGGGAAGGCAGAGGGCATTTCTGGGGGAGAAGGCGTGAGCAAGGGCAGGGAGGCTGGAAGGGCACAGCACCGGTGAGGGCAGCAGAGGCAGCACCTGGAGAGGTGGCTTTTGCTGGGGAACGGTGTGAGATAAGCTCACCCTAGTCCTGGCTTTGGAGATGAGAAGAAAAAAACAAAAGTGAAGCAAAACACTTGTCACTGTAGAGGAGCTTACGGTATAGACCACCTGGGAGAAATGAACTTGAAAACAAAGGAAGATTGAGGAGCTGAGCTTGTCAATGTCAAAGTCCAGCCTGAGCCATGGAAGAAGAATAGAATTGGAGTGAGCCCTGCTGTCGGGCAGACTTCTTCTCTCTGTATTCCCTGCCCACCCCAGGAGTCTGGAAACTGGCATGCTTCTGTGTTAACATAATGGCTTTAAAATTTTTCCCGTTATGTGCTTTAAAGGAGTAATTTCCAAATATTGGTCTATGTGGAAAAAACGAGAAAAAAATCAAGGTTTCCCTGGTCTAAGACTAAATGTGAAAAATAAAGAAAATATAATGAGTTTTTTATAAAGTCAAGCTTATTTAATTTACAGGAGTATCCTTTAAACAGAGATTATGCTGTTCTTATGTTTTTGCTGTTCAACTGGCTTTCTTTAATGGAATCATGGTCCATGAATTAACTTAAAATTAAAAGTATTGGTTTCTGAAACCCTAAAGGCTGGGAACTACTGTTTTAACGGCTGATTGTCTCCCTATCTAAAATATATATCAATATATTTTGACATATGGATACTTGCCATCAGGAAGACAGAAGAATCTGGACAGAAAGAGATCAAGACTTAACTGGTAATGCTGTAGACCACGGCAGATCGTACAGAAGACAAAGCCCTTAAAAGGTAAACCTCCTTGACTCTGTTCCCTGGAGGAGGTGGGTTATTATGTTGATGGGAGGTGGGTACAAATTGGGAGGGATTTGGATGATGCTATAAGATTAGAAGCTACAAAATCTTTGTGAATGTTTGTTTCTTTGAGCTAGGCTTGGGA